GAAACTTTTCCTCATTTTTTTTTGTGTGAGACCTAGATCGACATAAAAAAATAGCAAAACAAAATTGGCTAGAAAAAAAAATACCAAAAAGGTACAGGAGGGGGCCTCCTGAACCAGTTACTACAGATAATGTTGACACTAAAGTTATGGAGCTCACAAGTCCAGTGTGTATTACAGGCAATATGAAGGTGCCTGAGCCAGGCATCATCCTTGATGAGATGTTCCCTGCCAACAATCTACCACCAATGGTAGGATCTGTACCGAATATAAAGGTGAACATTGTTTGAGGCAGGGTTGTAAAATACACTATTATTATTAGGTACTTATTAGAAACATTTACGAGAACTCAAACCTTTTGCTTGCTTGGTATCAACAGCTACGTAATAAACATCTTTGTCTTACAGCTTGACCATGTCTGCATCACACCTCCAGCAAAAGCAAATGAAAACTTAGATTTTCCCATTGAGCTTGAGAAAAATGAAACTGAAAATACAAGGAAGAATCTTGCTCCTGAAATAAAGAATCATGCCACACCCAGAGGCAAACCCAGAGTGACAAAAACCATGAGACTGAATGAATCTATCAAAAACCACAGTAAAATGGTGAACATTTTAGGACATGCTCAAAATGGAACAGATACACACCGCTCTGGAAAAAATCAAGTTTTCAAAGAGCAACGAGATGAGCTAAGAAAACAAACCCATATAATGGAGGATAATATTTCTGTTTCTTTACTTAACATTGTATATATCATGAGAGAGTCAAGAAGTTGCTGGATAAAACATTGTTAGATAAACACTTGTTGGATAAACAATGTCGGATAAACACTTGTTGGATAAAACATTGTATGCCACTCGTGTGTTATGTTTCGTAAGTCACTTGAGAATTTATATATACATATATAAATCTTTCTCGCGTGACTTATTTTCAACATAACACACTAGTACCATAAATAACTATGAATCCATTGTCCAAAAAAAAACACTCACTTTCCCTTTAAAAAAAACTTCTCCGTCAATTTTTTAACGTTTTGGTGTTTATTTATCTTTATTTCCATTCGAATTTTCATTTTCTCTTACTTGGGACCAGTAGAAAATGAAATACCCTTTTTCGGGAGAAATCTGTCTATCAATTCATGAGAGAATTTTTTTCAAGAATACAGTATTTTCAATTCTAGAAAGACACTCCCACTTTCTCTCACGTTTTCTACTCCCTAAGATTCAAGAATAAGGCGCCTGAAGTCCGAACAAATCTAATATTGAAAATATTGACATTGGGAGAACTATTTTGAAACCTGATTTGATTACAGAAACCTTTATTATAAATAGTTCGGATCGCATCCACCGCCCCGTGACGGTGCATTGTTCCCCCAAATTTTATTAGGCAGCTTGCCTTCTTTCCGTGAGGATATGTATTCTGTGTTGTCAATCATACCCCCTTGTGTTGAGATGTAACATTTAATCTGTTATTAAAGTTATGAACCTTCTATGTTTGTTTGATGCTTCATACTTCCCAAACAACAAACATAACACTGATATTTATCTACAAGTTTTGTTTTTAGTTTTTTCTTCGATCTCCGTTAGTATAGGAGATATGGACCACCGCGCGCTTAGTAGCTCACCCTGTATATTTTTCTAAATTTTATTTTAAATAACAATCTAAAGTACCATTCACATAGAGCAAGGTAGTGGTGAAGTAGAAGTGAAGTAATAAAAGTATGCTACAATTTTACTGCTGTCGTTCACACTGAATTATTTTGGGGGCATCATTTCATGGCACGCATGCGCAGTGCGCAGTTTGTTTTTGAGCTGATATTTTCTTTATGTTTATTCAAATATTATGTGAAAGTAATGTTAATTGTAAATTGAAAACGACAAAATTTCAGAGTTCACGTCCACGATATATTACAAAATTAGTTTCCTGCGTTTTTTAAAATATCAACGATTATAATAATTAATAACTGTCGTGATACTACTATAATGGGTAGGTAGTAGGGTGTATTTTATTATTATGACCTCTTGTGTTAACACAACTTTATTTAATTGTATAGAGCCTGAAGAACAATCAAAAAAGCAAATCATATTGTTGTGTGTCCTTTCCGCAGCCGCACTTCTATTGGTATATCGACAAAATCGACGAGAAAGATTGAAGAGGAGATGGTGGGTAAGGCTGATAAACAGAAGAAGGTATGCACAAGGAGCTTACGATAATCTGCTACAAGAGCTAAGAAATGAAGACCCTGATTATTTTTTTAACTACACACGAATGAGTGTAGAGTTATTTGACAATTTACTTGTATTGGTGACACCACTACTTTTAAAAAGATCTAACCGGCCATCTATTTCAGCATATGCACGACTAGCTCTCACTCTACGGTAATAGAGGATTAGCTAAAAGTAAATAAACCTCTAAAAATTGAAGACATTTTATAGGTATTTGGCAGCAGGAGGTTCAATGCACAGCATTGCTTTTGAATACCGAATGGGAGTTTCAACAGTATCGGTCATTATTAGAGAAACATGTAGAGCAATTTGGACTGCATTACAGCCATTATACTTACCAAGTCCAAATTTAGAAACCTGGAGTGAAGCTGAAAAAGAGTTTTCTGAAAAGTGGAATTTACCGAACTGTGTGGGCGCTATGGATGGTAAACATATTATTATGAAAGCCCCAAATAAATCAGGATCAACCTATTTTAACTATAAAAAACATAAAGCACAGTTATTTTTGCTGTATGTGATGCCTCATATAAATTTTCTTATGTTGATGTGGGGTCATATGGATCACAGAGTGACGGGGGGATATAGCAACAGTCTGCACTAGGTAGGCACATTAAAAGTATGACTTTAAACTTACCCGATGATAAGCCATTACCACATTCACAGACACCAATATCTTGCTTTCTTGTTGGAGATGAAGCATTCCCTTTAAAAAGGGAAATAATGCGACCTTACAGTGGGCATTACTTACCAGAAGATAAAAGAATATTTAACTATAGGTTAAGTCGAGCAAGACGTTGTATTGAAAATGCCTTCGGTATATTGGCAGCTCGCTGAAGGATCTTCCATCAAACTATATATGTTTTTCCTGAGACAGTAGACGAAATAGTTAAGGCGACTGTTTGTCTCCACAATTATATTATGGAACACAAATCCGAAAGGTACTGCAACAACCATTTTGTTGATCGCGAGGGTGAGGGAGGAGATATTATTCCTGGCAGATGGAGAGATGAAATAACTGAGAATCCATCCTTACAAAGAATTAGGAGAAGGTTGTGGGCCAGAAATGCAAGGGCTAATACCACTGAAATGAGAGACCACATAAAAAATTATGTGAATACAGTGGGAGCAGTATCCTGGCAAGAGAATCATGTACGAAGCACATAATTTTATAAAATTGTAGCCTATCAATATTTTTTGGAGATAATAAACAATATACTTATATGCAATTTTGTTTCTTATACCCTTCACTAACCTTAGTACAAGGGTGTCAATTTGAAAAAAATAAAATAAAAATGCATCAACTTTATTTTTTAAGGGAACAGTTAGTATTTTTAATCAAAATATATTCAGCTCTCTAAGCTGCACCCATTCATTCAATTTTTAAAATTTAAATTTTTGAATGTAGGACTAGACATTCAACCAAAGAGGTATAACTCAACCTCCCTTCCTATTTGAGATTGTAGGAATCTCTTTCAACACACCTAGAAGTTTGATGTAACTTAATGTGGAAAAATAAAAAGAGATTTAAATTAATATCCAACTTTTAATTTCAAAAAATACAGAAGAAAAATGATGGTACTTAACACGTTCACTACCGCCGGCCACTATAGTGGTCATTACGGTTTCCTGTTGTGAACCGCGGCCACTAATCTGGCCATATTTTCCTACTATTTATTCACTAAAATTTTGAAGCGGATCGTGAATGATGCGGTTATTAGGTACTTTGGTCCATTCCTAATGTTTCTTGTCCGCGCAGAGCCACTATAGTGGCATCTGGTTCTTTAGCGTTGCTGTATTTTGTGATACATGCCAGGTGTATTATAGTGCGTTTTAATACTTTCATTGGACCAACCACTCCAAGGTAAAGGACTCAATCCCGTACGATCCAAAGATGGCACAAGACCGCTTGAAGACAGTTCCTTTAATAATTCTCATTGAAAGGAACACTTTCGGGAACTACTCAACAGAAAATCACAAATTACAGATGATATCTTCAACGGAATACCACAGAAACCAATACAACAAGAACTGAGCAAGGTTCCTAGATTAGACGAGGTTGAAAAGGCAATCAGACAACTACAGAACAATAAATGAGCTGGTATTGACGGCATTCCTGCTGAATTAGGTGCCCAAACTCACATACTAATAAGTAAAATATGGGTTACTGAGACTGATACCTACTTTTCTGTAATATATTTCATGGAATCAGATGGATTTTCCTATATTATGTTCAAGGCCATTAAAATGGCCGTTGGTCTATTCTGATGTCAAGCACCACTCACAGACTAGTGGCCAATTTAATGGCCTCAAAACAAAATGGCGGAATTTTATTTAGTAACACCAACTGATCTTATCTGTCTAAAAATCGTTCAAATATTCATAATACTTTTAAAGATATTATACTTGGTCCATAACAAATGAGAGCCCTTTAACGCTCGGTAGTGAACGTGTTAATAAGTAAATTTATGAATTTCTAAGACGTTTTTTTTTTGTAGGAGTTTATTATGACAACCATCTCAGCCATGGCATCATCACACAGCTCTTCATCGAGCATATTTAGGCTTGCAGCCAAATAGTTGGCAAAATCAGACAACCTGGAAGTATTGGAAAACGGTGTAGCCACTGGCATATCTGACACTTTGTCTGCTGCTTGTACCAACTTATTAATCAGTGGTTCAATTTGTCGAGAAGATTTTGGAAGATTCCCTGATGAAGTCATGGGGGTACAAAAATTAGATGACTTTGCACTTAGTGGTGTTCGGGGCAATTTTGTGGATGTCAAAGTTTCTGATGCATGTCTTTTGAAGCACTTTTTTCCAGATTGTTTATTTGAGGCAATTTGGTGGATTCAATATTTTCGGAAGCACATTCTTTAGCAGTTTTTTCTTCCACTATATAAATTATATCATTGATTTCTTCATCCTTTTCAGTATCCATAATTATTGACATCTTGCTATTGTCATCGTTCAGTTCCATTAATGTTTCAAACTGAAATTCACTAAGGTCTTCATTCAGGGTATCGGTGGGCAATGCTAAGTTTGTTTCCGTTCTGAAATTTATAAAAAGAAATGAGTTATCTTTATAATTGGCCAAAGAGATAAGACTCACTTTCTTTTTAAGATAACGCTGGACAAAAACCTTAATGATTCATATAGTGGCCACACTATTTCTTCAGACAAGCCAGCTCCACTCCTTGTTTCTTTTTCGATTTTTTCATTCTCCTTTCGAAATCTCTCACGTAAGTATTTATATCCGCCAATCACAACTTCGACTGAAAGTGAAAATCACTTTTTATGTGATGCTATATGTGTTTTTTGAGGTGAGGTTCGTTTCACAACAAAACTTACCGGTGGTTTTTAGTTCCTTAGCAATAGCTTTGAAGCTATTTTCTTTCTTGACTTTATTCTTAAAATCGTTGCAGCCCCTCTTCCAAATTGCTGGGTAATTCGGCAACAACTCGGCCAATTTATGGTCTAAGCGTTCCATAATTGATTTTTTTTAAATTCATATAAATAATTCCAAAAAATACATTTGTAGGACAGGACAAACTTCCAATTTTTGCAAATGCAAATAATCATTGAACATAACCTCACTGCAACAGAACAGAATGACAGAAGTCGACTGTCCGAAAATCGAATATGATTGGCTAGGTAAGAATTCTCCCACACGCTTGCCCCAAAAAGCTTGGAGCTTGGTATCTTTTACCTTACCACTACTTCGCTATTACCCCCTTAAAGCAAGTTTAATTCTATGTGAACAGAGCGTATGAAATGCACGCGTCAAGTATTCTTAATTCATAGTTCACTTCTACCTTACGTTGCCCTATGTGAATGATACTTAATTTTTTTTTATTTAATATTAATATGGATACTAAAAGTAACTTTGATAATATTTAAATATTTTAATCAGACAACCCTATAACCACGCGACTCAATCCGGTGAGCTTTTCACTGCTTTTAGAAAATACTATACAGGTGTTCCAGGTATTCCGTGCGGGAAAAATTTTTACCCGCAAGCCGGCCGTGCGGGAAAAAGAAAGTTTCCGAATTAAAATGCGTGCGGGAAACTGGACAAAAACGCACGCTTGTAGAAAAATAGATTCTTCCAAAGAAACCTTCAAATGTAAAACCACGATATTATCAGAGAGCCTGAAAATCAAACATAATGTGAACTTCACTATTTTAATTCAATAAAACAACGATAAGATACCGCAAAACAATATATACCTATATATAATTATGAATTTTAGCTACAGTACTTCTCAACGTTCGTCACCATGCGCGACCATGTCCTCTCTGTGTCTGAACTCCCCCGCCAGTCCGCGTCGCGTCATCTTCCTTTCCTTAACACTGACGTGGAGCACAGTGGCGGACCTGACCAGTGACGGCGTGTTTCCATAGTCGGCCATGCTACCGTTTCCCACGTCCTCGTGGAATTTCCCTAGTCGATCTTCTACCTAGATCAAAAACATAAACTTACGTTAATTTGGGGTTAGATTCGAGACCTTGTTGATCACATATAATGAAAATAATATAGTCGAGTGAATGTGCACAATATTTGGAGAAACCTAATAGAAAATAAAATTTTAGCCAAGGAATCCCATTTCACCAAACCACCTAATCACTTATATACCCTGTAAACAATTAAAAAAAATGGAAAGTAACAACTTCAAAATCGTAATCAAGCTGTTTAACTTTTGTCAGAATCCGCTTCGGATTCTAAGTTCAAAATCGTGATCAAGCTGTTTATTTTTTTCAGAACCCACTTCGGATTCTGAGCTCGCTACTACTTCGAACAACTTCAATATCGCTGTTTAACTTTTGTCAGAATCCACTTCGGATTCTGAATCTTTTCTTTAGCAGTTTGTCCTATTTTTAACAAGTTTCTTTCCTTGTCAGAATCTAGCTCTACCTCGTTAGCTAGAACTACATTCGTAACTCATAGGGTATTTTTTTTCGTAGTTGAATTTCTCGTTGAATTCAAACCCCATCGCACCCATGATACCGCCTCATCCCATCTATCCTCTTCGTCAGTAGAAGCGGACAGGGAGTTAAAAATTGTGCGGTTATAGCGCTGAACTTGTCCGTTAGCTCGCGGCGTAGCGGTATCATTGAGGACATGTTTAATATTTAGTTCCACGCAGTACTCCTGTTACTCGCAAAACACGATGGAAAAGTAAATAATAAAATTTGACAGTAAATGGGTAACTGAAACAAAAAAAAAATAAAAAGAGAGGGTTGGTTGGTGGCTGAAATCTAGAAACGTGATTTCGTGTGAAAAGTTGCCGACTAGCTTCCAATGCGGAGAGGGGTGTGGATCAATTAGATAATTAAATATAGAGCGCCACCTGCTTTTCCCTGCAGTACACGAAATCAACCGATATAACGAAAGCAGGAAACTTCTACGGACCTATAGCACAGTGGCGGCCAGTGGCAACCTAGTGTGGTTGTGCGCTCTTGGAAAATTTTTTGGAGGTGCCACGTCCTGTTTTACATTTATTTTGTATGTTGATTTTTTTTCTTTTTACTTTAGGAAAAATTATCGAAAACAAAAATATATGTATTTAAATGAGGCTTGAATGTTTGTATTCTAGCCATTATACATAATTGATATTGAAATTTATAATTAAAAAAAAAAACGCGAACAACAGAGTTGTCAAACCGCCAAAATGGTGAAAAAACATCGAAATATTCTCGATTGAGTGGAAACAACATTGGAAGTGTGTATTCAAATAGCGCACGGCGCATCCCTTTCATCGGGCGACTTACCGTATATTCCCGATCAATCGCACAGCGAGAAAACACATTTACCCAGAGCGCCGAACGATTCCACACCGACCACCTGGACCACCAGCACAACCAAGCGGGAGAAAAAAATATACAAGACAGGCGCAGGGCGCGCTTTCGTTCCGTTCGTGCGAATTTAAAAATAGAAAAATGAGTAGATATTTATCCTAATTTAGAAAATTGGGTAGGTATTTTTTAATTGAAATTTTAATTTTATTTTCTTGCTTGGTTTTTGGAGGCAGTGCGCACGCACGAGCGCACTTATTGAGAAGCCGCCCCTGCTATAGCAGCACAACCTGAAATATAAACGTAAACAAGAAGGAAGGACCAAAGTGAAACGCTTTGCTACAATCAGGTACGGGTTTTAATTAGAACCAGAAATGTGAACTAGAACAGGTTGACTTTGGAGCAGGTTCGGAGTGGGTTTTCCGAACGCCCTGGAACACTGGAAATTACTTACACTGGAACCAAAACAAGAAAAGAAATCGTCTAGGAGTACCTAACCTTATGTTCTCCAAATAGTATTTACAATAATTCAATTCAATTACAATAATTCAAGTAAAATGAAGACAGATCGGCACACTAAAAATTGCTACTAACAACTGTATAAACCAGTATTAAATTAGAGCAAATCGGCTCGCAAAGGCATTCGCCACAATTGCTAGAATAGCTATTCTAGTTGCCAACCTAGTTAGACCCTGTCTTCATTTTACTTGTATCAAACCCAGTTCCGGGATGGAACCAAAAATGGGTTGTGTTTTCTCTCTGCGGGACCTAAACCGTGCTGATGAGCTGTGATACAGCGAAACGCGTCCACGGATGGTCTTGCAGAGATAAAACACTTCTCAATCGGTCCTTAATTGGGCCGTTACCTAATTAATTTACAATAATTATTAATTACACTCAACTTGAGTCCCTAAATAAAGAAATTCAGGGTATTGTATAACAATTATCAGTAATAATACCTGAAATGTAAATTAATAAATAAGCTGACTAAATGCAGTAACTTCGTAAATGGCCATTTAACTCCAGTGTACAAGTATTTCCTGTATTCAGTGCAGCATGTATTTATGGGATAGTTATTAGAGAAATATAGATCAATAATTAATGTTGAAGTAACAATACATAGTCTGAGGGGCAAATTTAATATTATGGGATAAAATAGGTAGTATAGATAAATAATTAAAATTGAAGTACCTAACAGTACTAACCTGAATGGTAAATTTCATATAATAAAGGTAATATATATAATTAATTAAAACTGAAATGACAACATCTAATCTGAAGGGTAATATAATATTGTAGTGGAACTGCGTTGTTGTGGTGATTTACTCCAATAAGAGGTGGGAAAGGTTTGATATTAAGACAATACAACACACTTATCAAACCTGAGTAGTCCCTAATCTCTAGAGGGGAACCTGAAGGATAGGATCAATATCTTCCAATGTTTCCGATGGCCTGAACTGGATCAGGATCGCGACAAGAAATAGCCCTGGGCACTGAAGTCCAGTAACTAGGAGACACTAAGTCTTCCAATTGTCTAGAGGAGGCTGAAGATTGGAGGTACTACTTGAAATATAAAGTAAGCTTAACGTATAACTCTTTACTGAAAGTTAGGGACTAAAGCGTAATGAATAAAGCGTGACGTCTAAAGAATAAAGGCCTGAAACAAATGAACGTTATGAGACTGGGCGTGAAGCTATAGGTAGGTATGTCCAATATTCTGAATTCAACCAAATCCGCACAAGGCGATTTGGTGCTAAAATAACGGATGTCACCCTAGATCTATGAGCGAAAACTTGGCAACTCAGAAATCGGCAAAATGTGCCTGAGGAGTTTTCCCGAACACTAAGTCGTGGAAAGTCCTCGACCTGAATGACCTCTGCTTGTCCCTGCAATGTCCTTTAAAAAGGTTCTGTCAAAACTCCAAGGTGGAAGGTACTGAGGAATTTTGATGGTAGTTGGGGCATGGGACTTATTCAAATTAAGTTAGTACCGGTCACTGAGCCTAATTGGAGGGCTGTCAATCTAATCAATCTAATCGGATCAGACAATCAGCTGTTCTAATGTAAATATTGTGATGCAAAAAGTTTATAATCGGTCCAGTCTTCGTCATTTCACCCTGTATTACTTGATACAGTTTCTTAACGAACCACTCCTTGTTTCAGGAGGGTGTGTACTTTTGAAATATTTGCCTTTCTTTTTTAACAAATGAAATTTGACTTAAACAAATTGTAATAAAAAAATTGGATAATAACATGTATCTATGATAAAAAACTTAGGCAAAAATAGAAAAGAAAATCTGGCGCGAGTTTGCAAAGAAAATTTGAGGTTATTAGACTAGGTCTCACGTGTTAGGTTTTTATTTGCTACAAAAATACTGTTATCCGCTGGATTAGTCTGGAATCGAGATCTTGGATAGAATATGCTGGTTTCTAGAGCAGCTTTTCACTAATGATCAAATAGAGAAAGTCAGAATTCCTTGTGGGAAAAAACGTGCAAAGCAAAACTTACCGAAATGATTTCTCAAAATCCAAAATCAGCGGCGACATTATGGCACTTTACAAAAACGTAACGCAACGTAAGGCAACTCAATGTACCATGAATTCCATAACTGAGAAAATTAGGTCCAAAATTCCCTTTAGGGCGAAGACAAAATTAAATTCTTCAAGAGAGACCTTTTTCTCGGAATAACCGAAT